GAAAAAAAATGGGGGGGAAAAGGGGTTTTTAAAAAAAAACTTCCCCGGGGGGGGACCCCCCCCAGGGGGGGGGGGGTTTTTTTTTCCCCCTGGGGGGGACAATTTTTGGGAACAACAGGGGGGGTTTTCCCCCCCCTTTTTTTAGTTTTTTTGGGTTTAAAAGGGTTAAAAACCCTTTTTAGGGGGGGGAAAAAACAAAAAATTGGGTTTAAAGGGAACCCCAAAAATTGGAGGGTTTTTTGCCCCTTTTTTTTTTTTTTTTTTTTTTTTCCGGGGGGGGGGGGCCCCCCCCCCCCCCTTTTTTTTTTAAAGTTTTCCCCCCCCCCCCCCCCCCCCCCACTTCAACAGGTGGATCATTTCGAGAACCTCCAGTCGACGAACTGGCAGACGGTGAGGTGGAAGCCGCCCCCTCCCAGACTCAGCCCGAACGACCCCCACGTGGGCTGGAGAACAGAGTTCAGGAGCCTAGAGATTCAGCTGGTGAGACCTTGACCCTGTCCTCAGGACGGTGGAAGGATGCAGGGGGTATACCCGGTGCTGTTGTGCGTGGCCGGAGCCACCTGGGTGTGTGTCGTGTTCTACGAAGCCAGTATGAGCTGCTCGTGGATATTGTTGAGGATCTGGAACAGTTCCGCCGAACGTTCTCCAAAACTCGATGTGGTATGACTTTGGGGCAAGTCTCGAGGCGGACTGGGGCCGATGGTCGAAAGTAAGTATTCTACCTGACGAAGGTTTTGTGCGAGGCCACAGGCCGCCGCTAGAAGAGGAAGACCTCACCAAGTCCACGAGGCTTACGTTCAATGACCCTTGTGCACCGAGGATATTGAGAATATCACAAGAGTCAATTCCTCGCCCAACCATTTCCCGGTGCCGTTATCGGCGAAGTATTATTGACGCCTGGCCTCGCTGTCGCTGCTCTGTAAAGTTTACGACGTCCTTCCTAACCTTCACCTTAACCCTAATCCCTTTTCTTGCTTGTCCGTCCACGCTGTCGTCGCTCTTCTACCAGACGGACTTCGAGAACGCGGCGTACACCGTGTTCATCGTCCTTGTCACGAGGGTTATTCTTGCTCTGGACCTAAACCTCTACATTCCTCTCTCCAAGGTGCTCGTGGCTTGCATTGTACTTGTTTCTTTGTTTTCGTACAGTAAAACACATCAAACTCATCTCTATCCTCTATCCGATTCTATCTACCCCCCCCCCCCCCC